TATCTCCAGACTCTACCATTATTTCTTTTTCTTCTAATTCTATATGACTTTCATCATCTTGGTAATTTTCTATTATTTTCTTAGCCTTAGATTTCTTATTTTCCAATTTTTTTTTTCGTTCTTCAAGTTTAGCAAGTGCATCAACATATTTTTTTTCTTTTTCGTATCTTAAATTATACGACTCTACAAAAAAAAAATTTGTTCTTTGTCCTAAAGTTTATTTTATGATTTTCTGGTTAATTATGAACAAAAACGAAAAGAAAATACCTTGTTTTGGTATAAAGTTTGCTTTTGTAATTGTTATAGTAATAATACTCATTTTTGAATTTTTTATCAATTTTAATTATTTTTAATACATTAAAAAAATAGCGGGTAATCAGAGTGGGGTTTTAACGTTCATACAGTGCTGATAGGTGGCGCTCGAGTGCGCCTGTTTTGAAGATTTATAAATAACTCTACTTTTTGCAATTTGATTCGGCCGTTCTCGAGTTATTCGAATTTTTCAAGAAAAATCTGCTCCAGCGGACATTTGTTCAAAAAAATCATAGAACACTCGATTTTTGGGATATCAATTTAGGATTCAGAACATGCTTAAACAACATGATGGAGTATGTTTTAGTGCCGAGAACGGCTGTCTAGATCGTTTGGTCACTTTACTATGATACGTTAACTTTTCGAAATTTGGAAGCATCATAACTTCATTTTTTGAAATGGCATCCCCATATTTTATTACTTAGTCGTCTTCGGCGTCTCATTTTACATCTTTTATACTCGATATGTCCTATGCGTAACATTAATAGTTTGAGAAATAATTAGTGTTTTTTGAAAAATGCTCACATCACAGAAACGTCTAATGACCGGTCTCCCTGAGACATCTGTATATGTGGCAAATTTATTAAAATTCGAGATGTAACATATGAACTAAATACATCTCACGTTCTCTGTGAAGCCTACGAAGCATATTTTGACTGTCCTGTTCGGAATCAAGACAACACATGGGTTCACATGTTGCTTGTAGTTATTGTAAAAGATGTTTGGAAGGTAAGCAAATTTTAATTAAATGGTGAATTAAATACAATAGACATATTAATTTCTATTTCTATATTTTAGGTTGGTATCGAGGTGAGAAAAGGTTTATGAAATTTGCAATACCAAGAATCTAGCGAGAACCAAAAGACCACGTAAAGGACTGCTACTTTTGCATTGTGAATCCGAGTAAAAGACGTAGAGGTAAAAATGCAAAACTTATCGAATATCCTGACCTTGAATCTTCATCTGCTCCAGTCGCACACGATCTGACACGACCAGTACCTGAGCCACCGCAGAAAAGTAGCTCATTTCTTAGTTCTCATAGAAGTAATTCCGATAAGGAGCTTTTACCGACACCAGAACAACCAAAACATCATTTCATCACTACAGAAGATTTTAATGATTTGATTAGAAATTTAAATTTGCCAAAAAGTAAAGCAGAACTTTTAGGCTCTCATTGACAGCTCTACAAAAAGCTTAAAAGCTGTTTTATTACACAACGGAAATAAATTCCCATCTCTTCCAATCGCTCACTCAGTACATCTTAAAGAAAATTATGAAAGTGTAAAAATTCTGCTTGTACGTGTAAAGTATCGCGAGTATAACTGGCAGCTGATTGGAGATTTTAAAATGGTGGGATTTTTGATGGAACTTCAAAGCGGATATAGAAAGTATCCGTGTTATTTGTGCTTATGGGATAGCAGAGCGGATGCATTATACTCAACGGTCATGGCCTGTAAGAACAGAACTTTGTGTCGGCAAAGAAAACGTAAAATTTGAGCCAATTGTTGAAGCGGAAAAAGTGTTAATGCCGCCTCTGCACATTAAGTTAGGGTTGATGAAACAATTTGTTAAAAAACAGAATCAAACCTCAGAAGTTTTTGAATACTTAAGAAAATTTTTTCTAAAGTTATCAGAAGCAAAGGTTAAAGCTGGGGTTTTTGTTGGTTCGCAAATCAGACAGATTTTCGCCGATGAAAAATTTCCAACGTTGTTGAATCGTACTCAAAAAGCTAGTTGGAGCAGTTTTAAAGCAGTTGTTTCTGGATTTTTAGGAAATAACAAAGCTGAAAACTACAAAAAACTAGTTGAAAATATGCTAAAAAATTTTGATGGGCTGCAGGACGTCATTAAAAGTACATATGCTGCATGCTCATTTAGATAAATTCAAAAACAATATGGGAGCGTATTCAGAAGAGCAAGGAGAACGTTTTCACCAGGACATTATGATCTTCGAACAACGTTATCAAGGCCAATACAATGAAAACATGATGAGAGACTATATTTGGGGTTTATTGAGAGATAGTATCTATCAACATAAAAGAAAAAGTAAAAGTGTGCACTTTTAAATTATTTTCTACTTTTTTGTAAGTCATTTTGATAGTAAAACTTAATAAAAATGATGAAAATGTTTCATTTTTAATTAAAAATTAGAACCACAGATTTTGAAAAATATCGTTCAAGCGTTAAAAAAAAGCTAACTTTTTCATGCCATATATTTTTTTTTTCGTCTAACTACGAGCTAAAGAATTGAAATTTAATGCTTGTTATTAATGTATTCCTCTTTAGTAATATAGTTAATAGCTCGGCTATTAACTCCAGAGATTGCAGGATCGTAAATTCCACATTTTTTGGAAACCTTCACAATTGTATTCGTTGTAATAGTTCTCCAGGCTTTCCCTGTAAGATCAGAAAATGTGCTCTTCGAATGTTTTTGATCGATATGATTTCTGGCCCACTTGGATTTCAGCCTACTAAAACTGTTACGTCAAGTGGCTGTAAAATATGACTCGTATGGGGAGGAAGCTTAAGTATGACCACATTATTAGCCATAGCTAATTCGATTAAATTCAACCCAACATGAAAAACATGCCCATCATATGCAGACGTGGATACTCCTTAACATTTTTTAAAAAACAGTTTTGAAACTACGAAAAAAATGCGGCTTCAGTCATCCATTCATTTTCTGTAGCAAAGTAAGCTGTGTTTGGAAAAGCTTCTTCACCTCCAAACATGCTGTCCCACGCCTTGATGTATTGCAGGAGGCAAATATTTACCAGCAGCGTTGACACATGCCAAAACTGTGGTTGTGGTACGACCACTGCCTCCTGTAACTCTCTTTTCCGGGATTCCTTTCTCACAAACCACCTTTATAGAGCCAGGATCAGTACAAAATCCGAACTCGTCACAATTCCATATGTTATGAGGTTTGTCAATTAGTTGTTCCTCTTCTAGAATCCCCTTCAATTTTTCATAAAAGTCTTGAATGATAAACGGATCATCTGCTTGGCGTGCTCTAGCTCCCTCGACTCTTTCAGGCTTTTTCAAGGATAACCGATGACGACTCTTGAAACCTTGCCACCAATCATCTCCTGGGCGATTATCTTTGAAAGGAGTTTTGATTGAATTTTTAATTACATATTTTGCAATAACATTTTCCACTTTTTCTTTGGATAAACCGATTCCCCATTTATTCATGACTTTTAACATTTTAATTAGATGCGGTTCTTGCTGCTGGCTTAAAACAGCATTTTTATTTTCAACTTTCAGTGTTGACTGCCTTGCTTTCTTTCCTTGCCATCCTTTCAATTTAAATGTCAATGTTGATCGTGGTATTTTGAAGTGTTTCGATGCTCCTAATATTGACATTTGTCCACTGTTGATTGCCTCAATTGCTGCTTCTAGATCGGTCAAACTCCATCTTCGACCTTCACTCCATTTAATGTTCTTTTTTTCGTATATTCTTGGCATTTTTGGTCATAAACCTTATGGTTATTAAAAATGTGTGTAAGCTAGTGTTACATGATATGTTCAGTAAAAAAAAACTTAGTTACTCTTATTAAAATCCCTATATAGCGTTGGATTGTTTCCACGCGGTATAACTCGAAAGCAGAACCGGTAACTGATTTTTGATGTTACATTCTGTATATGGTAGAGAGAAATCTAACGTTGTTTTTTGTTGCACAACAGTTTGATAAGTGACATAACAATATAATTTCTAGCATTAATAAGTATGACATTTTAAATAACTTAATTACTACTAACTGTCAAAATGAAAATTTAAATGTCAAAATGATTCCGAATGACAGTTGAAACGTCAAAATGACATTTATTAATTTAAAAATATTATTTTAAACTGCGAAATAAACTAATCGGATAAAACGAATTGATTTTGAATATTAAACTTTATGTTCCCATTATACAAAATTTATCCCGGAAACATCTCGGAACCCCACGTTGCCAAGAGCAACAACAGGTAGGGTTGTATGTAGAAAATCACGTGCATTAACAAAATGAATTGAATTGTTCGATATAAGCGCGTATAACGAGAAAAGCTAAAGTTATTAAATAAATTGTATAATGTTTGAAATTTCCTATTTTCTAGGAAATCAAATGCCCCAATTCCGGAAATCAGTAGCCGGAAGCGATCCCGTAGGACGCATACTATAACTGTTATTGGAAACGTTTTCCAGGAGTAGGGATTCCACGAAAATCCTTATCCCGGAAAAGCTCTAATCAACGATTTTCCCAGAACGGGACACTACTCCGAATTCCTCGAATAAAGCGATGTGAATGGGGGGATGCTGTCGTCAGGGTTGACGACCTAGAAACCTGCGGGAAGGGTGAAATGTCCCAGGAAAACTAGGTCAAATGATCGATGGTGAAAATTTACACCTAATTTTTTTTCAAACAATTGACTACAATAATTTTAATCTTAACCAAATTTTTTTGTGATCAAAATTCCCCAAAAGAAAAAAATGTATTACAAAAATAACTTTCTAAATAAAATAAGATCTAATTTAAACAGTTTATTTGGTGTCTTCTAAATTTAAAGTAAACGCACGTTACCCGCAGGGCCTAAATCAAGAAACTACTAAGTCCAATTTCCGTGACATAACCTAAACTGTCATGCACGATTCTTATAAGACTTGTAACGGAAAAATCGTTGATGTTAAATAGGGGGTACTTACCCGACATCGTCGACTGTTCCATCTTCGTTCGTAACAGGCGGTTATTCGCACTTGAAACGAGGATACAACACAATATACAGGGCCATACACAAAGAACTACCGAAACACTACTACTAACAGTGCGAATCGGCGCATCAACATCACCGTTCCGTACCAGATCTCCGACTGATCAGATTTTTATACCACCGAATTCTTCATCTAAAAAAATGTTTATTTTAAGCGGATAATTTCATTTTAAACATATATTTATATCAATTATATTGCATTTTGTTGGAAAAGATTTTCTTCAAAATTATTTATGGTTAGTTCATCAATCAAAACAAATTACAATCATTAGCGACATCTATTAGTTTTCGACTAAACTTAGTGTGGTAACTTTTATATTTTGCTATTTTAATAATTACATAATTTTTAATTTTAAATTAAACGTAAATAAATTAATTATTTAAACCACTTTTATTGCTACAAATAAATAAATACAAATTAATCTCCTTTTACGAATTAATCCAAATACAGAAATCCCTTTTATCCCCCAAAATGAATTTGTAAGAATAATTTAAACTTTTTTAAATTTAAACCGTACATCACAAAATAACATAATTATTGTTATTCAATTAATTTCTTTAATTAAATTTTCCATAAAAGCAACAATTCGAAATTGTTCACATTTATTAATTACAGAAATCTTCTTTATCCAAGTCAATGAATTGGATTAAGTTTATTCGCCACAAGGCTTTATTACAATTGTAAAATTAACGTATTCAATCCGAAATCGTTAATTAACGGATTAAAATTAATTTAATAAGTGAACTTTTCGCTTAAAGCGTGTCCAAGGAGATTCGATTAACATAACCTCAAAGGATTGATGCTTTTCTGTAAACATGGATAGCAACAATCCAGTAACCGAAAATACTCCAGTTGTGGTGCTCGAACAACCTAAATCAAAGGTAGGTTCAACAAGTGAGGAAAAAGAAATCGTCGAGAATGTTGATGGGGCCAAACAGAGGAATACAAAAGCGAAAAAACGGAAGAAACCTAAAGATATGACAGCTCCAAGACATCCTTTATCAGGTATAAACATATTTATTTAAATTTGAACTTTAAATGATAATAAAGTGTTTTTTAGGATATGTAAGATTTTTGAATGATAGACGTGAAGCTGTAAGAGCTGCTAACCCAACTCTTTCATTTGCTGAAATAACTAAGATATTAGCTAGTGAGTGGAGTACTTTACCGGCGGATAAAAAACAACAGTATTTAGATGCAGCTGAACAAGATCGAGAGAGATATACTAAAGAATATAATGCTTATAAAAAAACTGATGCTTATAAATTGTTTACGCAACAACAAAATGAGAAAAAAATTATGAATGCTAAAGAAAAAGAATTACGAGATGAACCACCTCCCGTAAGTTTGCATCCTATTAATCATTATTTTAAAAATTCAAGAATAATGTGGCTTAAAAATCGACGATTTTTTTTTTTAATTAATGTGAAATGACCCAAAAAACATGTTGAAAATAAAAAGAATGTGTGGAAAAGTGTAGAACATACTGAAGAATCACATTAAAGTGATCTCACAAGCAATGTTAATCTTGCATTTTCCTACTAAACCAGTTAACACCTAATCTACAAATTGTTTATTTTATAACAATCAATCTGATAAACTTAAAAGTAAAGTTATTTTCACTAAATTACTATCGCTGCAAAAAGCCCCTCACTTTAGAGATCGATATCTTTGCAACCGCTTGATAAAAAAAAATTGCGACAAAGTTTGTTGTAATCACTGAACATTTCTACCTAATATATGTTAACTTGAAAATTTTTGGACCCGCTCACAGTGTTAGGAAGTTTGAAATTGCCGGTTATAACATGATTTAAAAATGACATGTAAAGTTAACAGTTATTTTGCGTATCAATTTACAAAAACATTTGATTAATATTGAGAAAAGATTGTAAACATATTAAAAGTTGTACCCTTTTGAAATTTCACTATAATTTTATACTGTATGTGTTGTTTATGTAACACTGTAATAGCTTCTTGAATGCTGGATTTATTTATCTTTTTCTCAACATTGTTCATAAACAGATTTTATTTGCAATGTTAAACTATAATTTAAGCAACAAAAAAAGTCCCACGAGATCCCAGGTTGAAAGTTCTTTTTTCATGTAGTTTCAAGCCTATAATTGCCTTTCCCAAAAAAATAAATTGCGTATATTTGCGCATTTTCAATAAAAGTCTACAGATATTCGACAGTCAGTACTGAAAGTTAGTTTTGGAACTATCACTCGTTTACAATTTGAAACCAATGACCCGTTAAAATGCCAAACCAGATGTCTATTTCACAAAAATTATTATCAAGAAATGAACACTGCTACATTTAAAAATTTTACAAACAACACAATTCTGTTATACAGGGTCCTTCAGCTCAGCTCCCGTCTTCTGTAGCTCAGTTATTTAGGAGTTAGTAGTTTAATATTTTGCAGGCTTATACTGTATCTCAGGCCGCAGTTCAGGAAATTATTATTGATTATACAGAATATCCCAAAAAAGTGTGACGCCATGATGACAGCTGTGAAGTTAGCCATAGATTCTAGCCATAGATTTTAAAATCGAAAAATGACCGATTTCTGCAACTCAAAACGCAAATTAAAATTCATATTTGAGTTTAGCACTCTTAGAACAACCCTTATACAAAAATTTACGGGAGGGTGTTTTCATTTAAGGGAGTAAAAAAATCCCAAAGTTGTAAATATCGCGTGCGCGCTTGGAAATTCAGAGTTTTTGATTATTAGGTTGAAAATATGTAAGAGCGGATGTGAGAGTGTAGGGAGGGGCGCAGTCGTTGACTAAAAATGTAGGAATCTCATCTGGGCCAATTGTAGCCTTTGCCTTGAATTTTTTGAAAGATTCAACCTTTTCGTCGTAACTGACTTCGGAGATACCAAAGGAGACAGAATTAGTATCATAAACAGCGTGATCGATACCAAATGATGCAGGACAGTACATAGCCTCAAAATGATCGGCAAATAAGTTAACTGTTGGCAAATCAGACACACTTTCATCAGCCCACTTAAGAGAGCCTGCAGATCTTATATGGTTTCTGCTTATGTTAACAAAACGTCAAACGTTTTTTGGTTCTTTTCTTATGTCCCTCAGAGATTGGAGTTGAAATCGGTCATTTTTCGATTTTAAAATCTATGGCTATATATATTTTTTTAAATGGCACAATATATCTTTTCTCACATTTTTGGGTGTCTTTTATGGGTGCCTACATAGTTCCAAAATTTTATTGAAATCGGCTGAATGACAGCAGCACAAAAAAATATAAACGAAAAAAAAATCGTATTTGCGTCGCTGGTTTTAAAAATTAATCATAATTACAAACAGCGCCTCATTAATAAAGTTTCATGTCAAACTTATTCATGATTCAAAATTATACAGGGTGGCCAAAATCTAGTGTCAAAACTTTCAAACTTTAAAGCATTTTATCTTTCTTATTTTAAATTGGACCCCCTACATATTTTTATGTAAATCGATGCAGAATTAAAAAACAAAAATATTTTGTAATAACAACCCCATCACAATTCCTGACATTTAAAATGTTATTCGCCGAAAACTCGTATTTCATCTATTCCAACGCCAATTTTACCTAATAAAAATCCATCGTGGCTATGAAAAACAATTGACTAAGAAATCTTATTTTGACGTTAGTAAAGTAAATGTTTTAAACATTGTTACCTTCGCAGTACTAATTGTTTAAGCTATTTACACGCCAATATTATTTTTTGCTATGCAATCAATCAATAAACTCTGTGTTAATACTAGAACTATGAAAACTACAAACATTCGGTTTTAGCCCCACGTCTCTCAAGACGGCTAAACCTTAATGATTCTACTTCTAGGTCTTGTATTAGTTCTAGTGCTAGTGTTAGTTCTACCTTTCTTTCAATAAAAATATATCGCTATCTAACGCTAAATAACATTTAAAACTAGAACTAACACTAGACCTAGAACTAGAAACATTCGGGTTTAGCCGCACGTCTCTTAACACGGCTAAACCCGGATGATTCTAGTTCTAGGTCTTGTGTTAGTTCTAGTGATAGTGTTAGTGTAAAACTAGAACTAACTAACTAGATCTAGAATTCTAGGTCTAAAGTCTATCCAAATCCAAGGCGAATCGAAACAAAAACCGCTAGATGCGTGATCAGTCAGTAATTTATTGAAAGCGAAATGAATTGATTTCGTCAAAAGTTAAGACCGAATATGAAATTGAACACAAATTGCAATTTCCATGGTAGATGGTAAATTGTGCAACTTAATTTTTAAAAATATATCGACCTTAAAGTGTTATGTTTATGGAGCAACATCTAAGGGCATAAACAACATCGAAAGAAGTAAAGCATACAAATCCATTTTTATTGGATCATCCTGTATTTTTTGCGGAAAACCGTAATGATTTCATCATGAAAAACTATTATTACAATGATTTTCGATTTTTGACACAGTTTTGGTTCACTCTAGGCCACAGTCAAGTGGTTCGAAAAAAAAAGGAGTGTTCAAAACTGGTTGCGCTCCAAGGACAGTAGAATCTAACAGGACTGCTACATCCATTGTATTTTTGTAGTCCACTACGGGTTGGTTGCCCGCACTCTACGTCACACTATTTGCCACGCCTGGCAACTGTTTGTGTTTTTAGAGGTTATATGATAGACATTAATACGTATAAAAACATAAAACTTCAAAAATAATATGAATACGTCTACGATATAACCTCTAGAAATAAACAGCAAACGCATAGACCATAACAACAGCTGGGCGTGGAAAATGTTGTGACGTAGTTTGCGGGCAGGTTGTCACAACAATGAATGTAGCAGTCCTGTTAGATTCTACTGTCCTTGGTTGCGCTCTAAAAACATCCAGTTTCATGACTGTATGCTTAAGGTTCAACTTTTGGCAATAGTTAAGCAACATGAAGCAAAATACCAAAAGTATATAGTTGAGGAAATGGCCGCGAGTCAAAATAACACCGTTCTTCACTTACCCCCATATCATTGCGAGCTTAACCCGATTGAGTTAATATGGGCTGATTCTAAAAATTTTATAGCACAACGTAATACAAGCTTCAAATTTGCAGATTTAAAAAACCTTTTTAATGAAGCCTTGCAAAATATAACTGCTGAAAAAAGGGGAAAATGTGTTCAGCATGTAATCGAAAAAGTCGAAGTTAAAATGTGGGAGTTTGACAACTTAATTGAGGTTCAAGTTGAACCACTAATCATTAATATGACTGACGATCATAATACTGATGTTGATAAAGAATCAAGTTCATCATAATGAGCTTTAAACAATATACAGGGTGTCTCACGTAACTGGTTCGTTAGAACTTTTTCAGGTTCCACTATTCGTAGAGATTTGAAATTTTGGTAGCATGGGTTGTTCATTCGGAACTTTCGATCTAAAATATTTTCAAGATGGCCGCGACTTCCGGTCTACCGGAAGTAGACCATAACTTCGTTATTTTAAATGGAATGTTATAGTTTTTATTACACAATTTAATTGTACGTAAAAAAATAGGTTGACTTTGATAAATGTTATTGGTACCTAGCGTTTTTCGTTTTCGAGTTATTTTGGTTTTAAACTTTTTTTGGTAAATTTCAACATGGTCTTTAAAACTTAATATCTGAGCCAAAGTTCGTTCAAAAAAGATCTCCTTTGGCACGATTACTCTTCAGATGTTGTCAAACAGATTGTCATTTGTTGTATCGGAGTATCTTATACAGGATGGTCAAAAATTGAATTACTGTTTCTCCATATTCAATGGCGAGAAGGTCGAAAATTTTAAATGGAACGCCCCACATTTTTTAGCCTATCAGAAAGAGAATTTAATTCTCTACAAATTATCTATAAACATTCCCATACCTATTTATTGTAGTTTGCCTTATATTGCGAAATTTATTAAAACATGCACGAAATACAGGTTTTTTTATTAGAAAGCTATGGAATTTTGACAGTTTTTGGTCCATGTTTGTATTATTGTTGCCATTAGTTACATTTGACGACGGGTGTAAGTTATTGAACATCATGGTAAATGATTCCACCGCCGATATTTGAAATTTATTTTGTATTGATGGCGAATGTAATAAACTTTCGCACAAGACGTGTCGATCACTTAATGAGAGATGAAACCTAACGCCCATCACAAGGAAAAATTTCAAAAAATTGATAAAGAATTTATTAGTTCTGGATATATCGAGACCAAAAGAAATCGCATATTTCCGGTCACCAGTGATGAAGACAACGAAATAAATAATTTAATGTATTTTATTGCATTTCCAAATTCAATTTGATAACAAATTTATATTATAAATTTATGTTTTTATTCAAATCTAATTTTTGTCATTAACTTTTTGTTCTAATAGTTTCATTTATTTGATCTTCTGTTTGTTATTTTTGGTAAGTAAAAGCTAGTAAACTAAAAGATTATCAATCGTAGGTAATAGTACAAATAATAATAGAAATAAATTAAACAAAAAACTGTCAAATTTCTTGGCCTTCTAATAAAAATACAAACGGTTTCCTGCATGTTTTGATAAATTTACGAATATGAGAGAAACTACAATAAATAAATATAGGAATGTTTATAAATAAATTGTAGAGAATTAAATTCCCTTTCGTGTAGGCTAATAAAATATGGGGCGTTCCATTTAAAATTTTCGACTCCATTGAATATGGAAAAACAGTAATTCAATTTTTGACCACCTGTATAAGATACTCTGATACAATATATGACAATCTATTTGAGAGCATCTGAAGAGTAATCGTGCCAATTTAGACCTTTTCTGAATGAACGTTGGCTGGGATATAAGGTTTTAAAGAGCATGGTGAAATTTGCCAAAAAAACCTTAAAACCAAAATAACTCGAAAACGAAAAACGCTAGGTACCAATAACTTTTATGAAAGTCAACATATTTTTTTACGTACAATTAAAAGGTGCAATAAAAACTATAGCATTCCATCTAAAATAACGAAGTTATGGTCTACTTCCGGTAGATCGGAAGTGGCAGCCATCTTGAAAATATTTTAGGTCGAAAGTTCCGACTGAACAACCCATACTACCAAAATTTCAAAACTATACGAATACTGGAACCTAAAAAAGTTCTAACGAACCAGTTACGTGAGACACCCTGTATATTTTTTAAATATTGTAAAACCTGTAAGAATATTTAAAAATCAAAATAGTTTGTTAAATATTGATATTTGGCTTTTAATACGACCCTGTTCAATGTTTACGTACTATGTTACGTACTATCACGTGATCGGCGCATGAACAGTGCATGATTGTGTTTATATTTAGTTCGTCTTGGATTTGACTTGACTTTAGTGTGTTTAGTACTATCTTATGCTAACTAGCGCTACCTACCACTGTCACTAGAACTAACACTTGACCTATAAGTAGAAAGTCTTCAGACGCACGGCTAAATTCGAATGTGTCTAGTTCTAGGTCTAGTGTTAGTTTTACTTTTCTTTCAATAAAAATATACCACAATCTAACGCTAATTAACATTAAAAAGATCTAGAACAAGTAACATTCGGGTTTAGCCGCACGTCTCTCAAGACGGCTAAACCCGAATGATTCTAGTGTTAGTGCAAAACTAGAATCCACGGCTAACCCAACCCGGAATTACAACCCACGCTCTGCTTCATGTCCACACACATTCGCACTGGTTTAAATGTTAATTAACCTAACACAAAGTGGAATTTCTACACAAAATTCTGAAATAAATAAAATGTAACGTTTAAAGAAGGGGTAGGGCATCAGGTATAGATATTAAGTTATCTTTAATTTATAGATGGTAAACAACGGCATTTTAGTTGTTGTCCGTCGAAAACACAAGAACAACCGTATTTCACTCGAAAATATTCGTTTTAACCAAATGTTCTGCGAAAATATATGGTTAGCACGGTTGATGACGTCACGTCGAAACTTTAAAGAGATTTTTCAGTAAGTTTTACACATTTCCGCACTTTCTTTTATTTTTAACGGTTTACTTGAGTGATTTCCTGTCGACTAAAAAAAATTGTCGATTTTTGAAGATATTTTCTTTCATTTTAGAAAATTTTAAAGGAAGCTAAAGATATTCAAAACAATAATGAAGCGTTAAACTTTTCAAATTTTGATATTCCAATATTTACGGAAGAATTTCTCGATCATAATAAAACCAGAGACGCGGAATTAAGGCAACTGAGAAAATCGAATACAGATTACGAACAACAAAACGCAACATTACAAAAACACATTGAAAGTATGAAAACGGCCATTGAAAAATTGGAGGGTGAATTAATGCAACAAAAGAAAAATAACGCTGCGTTGCAATTACATTTGGAACATTTAAGGAATACTTTAACTGGGGGATTCGGCGATGTAAAACTACCGGGAATCAAAGAAACGGCGACTTTGCAAACGATCGATAGTTACATGACCAATTTACACTCAATGTTGGTAGAAAACAGTAGTCATGACGCTAATTTGTTTCAAACTGTACGCGATATCGTGAGTCGGTTGGAATTCGAAGGATGACAGGGAATTGGAGGTGGTCGTGGAAGAGGATTCGGTAAACGTAGAAAGAAACAAAAAAAAATTACATAAAATTGATTTTATTCAAAGTGATTTGAGTTATTCATGTTTTCATATTGAGAATTGAGTTTTCTGTTGTGAAGATGGTTCTTTTTTTGCGATAATTTGACTATGTATGAATTGAGATAAATAATTTTGCATTATTGCTAGTAATAATAAATAGTATTTACTGTGATTAAGTTATTGTAGTAATTTAATTATTTGAAATGATAAAAATATGTATAATTTGTAAAATCTTGAATATGATGTGACAAACATAATTAGAAGTTAAATGTTGTCTTTTATTAAGGATGGTGTTTCATATTCTTGTTTATTTTAGATTCCCATTATTTTCCTTTCCTTTTTTTATACAGGAAAACCTCTATACATGGTGTTCCAGTGACTCAGGCCATAAAATTAATCTCATATACTAGTGCAAAAATGACCAAGATATGGGCCATCAAGAAATTTTAACACATTTTTCTAAATATTTTCAATACCATTTATGGTAGAGCGTTGAAATTTGGTACAGGGTAAACAAATATCAAGCAAAATCATTGAACCAATTTTGACTTTGATCGGACAGCGGCAACCATGCTATACAGGTGTCCCTAAAATTTGTTTGCTCAGAACTTTTTTGTTCGCTCGTAACCCTACATTTATTTATGTACTTTTTAATAGAAAGTTTATTTTAGAAACTTTCATCACTCTTTGAAAATTTTGATAACATTGATCGTCTTCGAGTTATACGCGAAAATATTAAGAACACCCGAACTAGAAGAAGATATTCTAGACTACTTCACATATTCTAGAAATACTACAGCCTCAGGATTTAGTACTTTGGATATGGCGACAAGGGCGTCGCCAGAGAGGGGACCATTGCCTCCCTAGAGGTAGATTCGAAAAGAAAATTTAAACAATAAATAAACATTTCGAGTACTGAACAACTATCGAATGGGATGCCATATTTTGATCTGGAAACCAAGGAAGTTCAAAAAGTATTCCTCGGATTCGTCAAACTTGATGCTTTGGATGCGAAATGTATTGCAAAAGCAATAGATGAGTTTTCGGCAGAAGATCTTGATCCGGACAAATGTGTTGGTTTAGGATTTGACGGTTGTTCGACGATGTCCGGGAAAGAAGGTGGTGTGCAAGCAATCCTACGCAGAAAATATAAAAAAGCTTTGTGCTTTCATCAAAGGAAGGTACCATCAAAGATAGTATTAAATTTTTTCAAGAATCAGTTTTGAGACGCAAATTGATACCAAATATTTCCAAGCTTTGCGAAACAAGGTGGAGCGAGAAACACAAAAATATTAGTGTTTTTAATGAGAATTTTCCTATTATAATGGAGGTCTTTGAAACCTCGTCACGGGAAGAAAATAAGAATAAATAATGCGACTAGAAAAAGTACTTATCAGCTCCATGCAGCAGCTTCTAGAGTTTCGTTTATTCTCAGCTTTATTTTGATAGCCAAATACTCGGCTATGATGGAATCTGTGGTAAACGTGCTCAAATCCGTAGCTTTGAATGCAGTTAAGGCATCCCAGCACATTAGCCGCCTTTTGGAATTTATAGAAAACCACCGTAACGGTCCAGAAAACGTCACAAATGGAATTATTAGGGGTGCTGCTGTACAATACTAATGGAAGAAGAAGAAAACAATATTTATTTGGACTTATATAAAAAATTATAACAATAAGAAATACGAAAAGAAATACATATATAAAATAAATATAAAAAAAGAGTCCAAAAGGGCTATAGACCTTAGTCTTCCTGCCCAACTTGATTTAGCATATGATAGAATATGGTCATTGGTCACCTCCTCGTTGCTCGTTGCACTGAATATGAACTGCATAACTTGTCCAGTGTATCACTTCCTCCTTTGATACTATTATAGAATAATATTTCTTCTGTTTTTTTTTGTTTCTGGATCTATAGTGGTTGCTCAGTCATGAAATGTACTGAAATGAACCACGATTTTATTTATTTTGGGGACGTAAGAAAGCATTTTTGATTGTGGACTTTTATAAAATGTCGTCTGCCATGTTTTTTATCCTTTATTGCGTCTGAATTTGTGCTATTGTACAATACTAATGGATTTGCAGCACTTGATTTAGCATATGATAGAATATGGTCATTGGCTACCTCCTCGTTGCTGGTTGCACTGAATATGCACTGCATAACTTGTCCAGTGCATCTTTTCCTCCTTTGATACTATTATAGAATAATATTTCTTCTGTTTTTTTTTGTTTCTGGATCTATAGTGGTTGCTCAGTCATGAAATGTACTGAAATGAACCACGATTTTATTTATTTTGGGGACGTAAGAAAGCATTTTTGATTGTGGACTTTTATAAAATGTCGTCTGCCATGTTTTTTATCCTTTATTGCGTCTGAATTTGTGCTATTGTACAATACTAATGGATTTGCAGCACTTGATTTAGCATATGATAGAATATGGTCATTGGCTACCTCCTCGTTGCTGGTTGCACTGAATATGCACTGCATAACTTGTCCAGTGCATCTTTTCCTCCTTTGATACTATTATAGAATAATATTTCTTCTGTTTTTTTTGTTCCTGGATCTATAGTGGTTGCTCAGTCATGAAATGTACTGAAATGAACCACGCTTTTATTTATTTTGGGGACGTAAGAAAGCATTTTTGATTGTGGACTCTTATAAAATGTCGTCTGCCATGTTTTTTACCTTTTATTGCGTCTGGATTCGTACTGTTGTACAATACTACTGGATTTACAGCACTTGATTTAGCATATGATAGAATATGGCCATTGGCCACCTCCTCGTTGCTCGTTGCACTGAATATGCACTGCATAACTTGCCCAGTGTATCAATTCCTCCTTTGATACTATTATAGAATAATATTTCTTCTGTTTTTTTTTGTTTCTGGATCTATAGTGGTTGCTCAGTCATGAAATGTACTGAAATGAACCACGCTTTTATTTATTTTGGGGACGTAAGAAAGCATTTTTGATTGTGGACTCTTATAAAATGTCGTCTGTCATGTTTTCATCTTTTATTGCGTCTGGATTCGTGCTATTGTACAATAGTAATGAATTTGCAACACTTGATTTAGCATATGATAGAATATGGTCATTGGCCACCTCCTCGTTGCTCGTTGCACTGAATACGCACTGCATAACTTGGCCAGTGTATCAATTCCTCCTTTGATACTATTATAGAATAATATTTCTTCCGATTTTTTTGTTTCTGGATCTACAGTGGTTGCTCAGTCATGAAATGTACTAAAATGAACCACGCTTTTATTTATTTTGGGACGTAAGAAAGCATTTTTGATTGTGGACTCTTATAAAATGTCGTCTGCCATGTTTTTTATCTTTTATTGCGTCTGGATACGTGCTGTTGTACAGGACTAATAGATTTACAGCACTTGATTTACCATATGATAGAATATGGTCGTTGGCCACCTTCTCGTTGCTCGTTGCACTGAATATGCACTGCATAACTTGTCCAGTGTATCAATTCCTCCTTTGATACTATTATAGAATAATATTTCTTCTTGTTTTTTTTTGATTCTGGATCTACAGTGGTTGCTCAGTCATGAAATGTACTGAAATGAACCACGCTTTTATTTATTTTGGGGACGTAAGAAAGCATTTTTGATTGTGGACTCTTATAAAATGTCGTCTGTCATCTTTTTCATCTTTTATTGCGTCTGGATTCGTGCTGTTGTACAATACTAATGGATTTACAGCACTTGATTTAGCATATGATAGAATATGGTCATTGGCCACCTCCTCATTGCTCGTTGCACTGAATGTGCATTGCATAACTTGTCCAGTGTATCAATTCCTCCTTTGATACTATTATAGAATAATATTTCTTCTGGTTTTTTTGTTTCTGGATCTGTAGTGGTTGCTCAGACATGAAATGTACTGAAATGAACCACGCTTTTATTTATTTTCGGGACGTAAGAAAGCATTTTTGATTGTGAACTAAATCCCTCTATAGTTGAGTGCACAGGACGACGTTTGCTGGATAAAAAATCAATAGGTTATTCTCTTCTATTCTTTTTTAATATTCCCACAAGGGTGATTTTTTTAAGAACTTTGTCCTAGAGGTATAGAAGTGTACCAGTTATCAGTGCTTAAATTTTGACCCGTATTATGTATTGGTTGCGTGATTTCCATAACAACATTGTGGGCCAGATCCTTTGCAACTCTATTGCCTTCCTTATCGGCATATACTTTTCTTCCTAAGATATAAATGGTACAAGCACAACAGATACCGAAAACTTGTATACCATATTTTGCTGGTTTCTTTGGGAGGTATTGTATAACACTACGCCTTCATCAAAAGTTACAATTTTCGACGATAGGAGTCCAAAAATTTGAAATTTATTGGTGGGATTCCTTTCAATTTTATTGTCAAATCTTGAATTGGTCAAAAGGTATACGAAACGTCTTTTAGACATCGTTACATGATATATAGGAGGTCCATACTTAGTACTCCATAAGTCATCCAGTGATAAACGAGCGGATCTGAACACACCACATAGATAAAGAAGACCAATTAGTGCTAAGATTTTTTCTTTGTCTGTTTGTTTTTCATAAATTTGCAAATTTTTTTTTTTTGCAGTTTTGCTCTGTATTTTCTGGTTGGTAAAGACTACTATGCAATCTATAATATCATCACTGATAAAAAAGATCTCAGTGCGTCAATGGGCAGTTTTTACCTCTTTTCCAGCTTGTTTTGCACCAGGTAAATTAGTCACCAAGTTCTTGGCACGAGTACGTGCGGTTGCTGGAGCCTTCTTATAGCGCTTGGTTACATTATCTTTCCCTAAGAAATAACTATCAATCTCACAACTTCCTGTTGCATTACCACTTTTTGTATTGTCTTCATCGCTACTCACTTCAATTTCCGATTCTTCACTACCACTACTTTGTGCCTCGATCACTTCTGGCTCAAATTCATCATCACTCGATAAAATATCTGTAGGTTCTTCGGAAAAATTATCGTCTTCTAGAAGGACCAACAGTTTAACTTCATTTAGACCTTTTCTCGTCATATTTTACTGGCACTACGCCAAAATCAATCTTTTATAGTAAAGGAAGAATACATGGAAAGAAAAAAAAGTTAATTTTAATAAATAAATTAAATCAAGGCTTGAAAGCAATAAAAAAATTCCCAGAAAGATTACCAATTCGCACAAATGAGTCATACTAAGAAATTCATTCCCCCTTTTTTGAAAATTTTTTTTATAATAGGAAATATTAATTAAAAAAAGTTTTTTAGGTTAATATAATTTATTAAAACAAACAACAA